GCACAAATAAAAATGATGATGTTGAGAGGTGTAACAAATATGACTTGTATTTAATTATTTATACACAATTTAAATGATTTATGGAAAAACTATACATATTTTCATACTTTTGTCTTGTTTCTAGTCCAAATATCTACATTTCAAATAATAGTATTTTGCTAACCCCATTGGCAAATAATTTAGCTTGCTTTAAGGAACAACTCAAAAATGTTGACTTATTTATTCTAAAGGTGAAAACAAAATATTTTTAGTACATGTAAGAATTTTAGATATTTTGACTAGAAACAAGGCAAAGCAAAGTAATTGCAATTTCTGTATCTTATTACTGTTAGAAAACTGTCAAATAGAGCCGTTCATACCATCTTGTGAAACTGAGTTCAATCAAAATGTTTATAGCAGAAAAATAAAATAACACAATATCAGACTTTTTCAATATCATAATGCCTGCTGACAAGCCTTAAAATAGATGAGCAAGAGCAGCAGGGAGCAAACACTGCTGTTAGATAATAATAGGAAAATTAGGCTACAATCAACACTAGTGGGTCTCCGCTAAAGGGGCTATCTGTAACATTCATATGAATTGTGTAAGTTTACACAGATCGCCCCCCTGTGGCAAATCCCTAAACATGTTTTAAGGATTTTACCTGATCTTGGATCAGCTTTACTAATTTCAGGGTTTCTGCAGGTTTCATAGTCAAATTTAAGACTTTTAGAGATTGTTTAAAGACCATTATTAATAAAATTTCAGATGTATATGGAGCTAAACACTATCAGGATTTCTTTTTTCCAATGGAAATGGAAAGATTTTTACTATCCTCAAAATGTCAAATTTAGTTATTAATAATGTGTCAAACCAAGCAAACACTGGTTTTATTGATGCAGTTTTTTAACAAAATATTTTTTTTAATTTTTAAAAGCTAAATATATGGACAACTGTCAGTCCAAGTTAATGTTCTCACTCTAAATAAATAGAAAACGTATAAACCAATGTTTTTATAAGAAAAATATTGAAACTATATTGGTAAAAGAGTTAAATTGTACTATTTGTTAAAGGTTCTATTGAGATGGATTGCTGGTGATTGGATGGGTTTGGCCTGAATGAGTAGCTTTTCATAGACATAAGAAAATTAAGACCCGTTTTAAATGATTTAAGACCTACGACACAATATTTTGGTCAATTTAAACACTTTTTAAGGCCTAAAATTTAGTTTTAGCAATTTAAGACATTTTAAGACTATTAAGACCCTGCGAATACCCTGAACTTTTACATGTTTTAGTCACTTATTTGTAAAACGAAAAGAAATAATATCATTATGTGTCATTAGCTTCTTGTTGTAACAGAAAACAACTGATAAGCATGACAAAAACAATATATATGTGGTGAAAATGTATATAAAAGGTTATGCTTTTAATTTAAAGTTTGCAATATGTAAGAAAAAGACAATTATAATGTATCTTTTGCCTGAGCTTGTGTTGCATTTGCATGACTTTGACTACCAGGCGTCTCTAGCATGTGGTGTTTCAAACTCTTTGAACCAATTAATCATTATGCTAAATCATTCGTTAAATTTGAAATGTTGTTTCTATTATAACTAGCTCACAGATGTCAATATCATGTCAGTAAGTACATAAATCTTCCAAGAATGTTTCCAGCACTTTGCTGATCGTCTCCTAGACACTATTATAGGAATTCAGAAGGCAAAAAAATCATCCAACCTAGGACTAGCAAGGAGTATCTAATATAGTGGCCATTAACTGTATATACTGTAAACTCACCATTAGGAAAGGAGCCTATGGCAGCAGATGGGACTCCTGCATAGATCCCTCGGAAACCTCCCGCCTTGTAGAAGCCCTGCTGGCTCTGCAGCCTTGTCTTAATGGTGTCCAGTGGGAAGAGAGTGAGATCTACACACATTCCTGCGCACCCGCCTGCCTAAGAGATAAAGAGCTGGGATAAGGTTTTGATGCACAATTATTCAGTGTTATTCGATAAAAAACTTTTAAAAATACTGGTGGTATATATATATATATATATATATATATATATATATATATATATATATATATACATACTGTACACACACACATACACACATATATATATATATATATATATATATATATATATATATATATATATATATATATATATATATATTCATTTTCTTTTCGCTTTTATTAATCTGGGGTCGCCACAGCGGAATGAACCGTCAACTTAGACAGCATAATGAACGTTTTACACAGTGGATGCCCTTTCAGCTGCAACCCATCACTGGGAAACATCCATACACATTTATTCACACATATACACTACAGCCAATTTAGAAACCCATGCGAACACGTAAAGAACATGCAAACTCCACACAGAAATGCCATCTAATCCAGCCGAGGCTCGAACCAGCGACCTTCTTGCTGTGAGGCTTTCGTGCTACACACTGCGCTACCGTAACACCCCATATGTGTGCATGTGTGTGTGTGCAAACACTAGAATTCATTTATTATTATTATAAAAATGCAAGCAAAGTTGACTATTAATGCTATTATTTGTTATTATTAGTTTGTTACAACTATTACTACTACTTCTATTTTATAATAAGATCACTGCTATTATTAGTAGTACTATGTATCAGTAGTAGCTGTCTCAAATCTAGAAACAAAGACAAGATAACAAGAAAAAAATAGTAACTACCTTGACTTAGAAGACTAGAAGACAAGACACACATTATTATTATTATTATCACTATTATTATTATTATTATTATTATTATTATTATTATTAACAAGAGATGTTTATTTATCGCTTTAAAAACAGCATCTGTATTTGTAAAAAAAAAAACAAATGTATTCCTTTAGCTTCATTACTGTTGTCATCATCATAGCCATCATCAAAGTCACTTCCAGATTATTTAAACAAGTAAACCTCTGTTTGCATTACACAAAAGCTAAAAATGTCACTGTCACTCAATAACATTGTTCTGCTTTCATGTCACATGCAGAGTTCATGATGAAGGATTCTTGAGCGCGTGTAATAGACAGCGAGCATTACCACAGAAAATGAGCATTACCACAAGGGAGGCTGTGAACTCTCGTCTGTCCATACTGTACTCGAGGACTTCAGCATTTGCCAGGTGACTTTGTTAGGCGGTTCATCTTTGACACTTCGTACAACAACTACACGTTCAGCAAGGGCGCTGCCATGTTTAGGGCGGGCGCTCGCATAGATGTCACATGACAACGACGACAACAGCAGGGCTCTTCATTTTCGGCAGAAGGGCTCGAATTAAAAAACCTGATTCAATGTGGAAGATACTTCCCGAATTTATTTTTAATAAAATTGGAGGTATTGCTTTTCTGTTACAATGCCCCTTCTCACTTGGTAAATTACTCATAACATTAACAATATATCATAAACAGGTCTTATTATCATGGTTAATAATGTACAAACACATATTTTCTCCTCACCACTGCTTTATTTTAAACAACCAAACTATTGTAACAAATCTTTGCTTTTCGAGAAATGCTTTTTAAATATTGTTTTTATAAGTCAATTATTAGATGACAATGGTAAGATATATTTATTTTCAATTCATTATATTAAATTTTGAACCCTCAGTAAAAAAACAATAATACAACACAGTATAATTAATGATATTCCCAATGATTTAAAAACTTTATTGAAAGAAGTACAAACCTTAAATTTGGATCCTATAGACCAAACAACCCAATCAAATTCAATAACTGTATGATGCAAAAAAAAAATTTTAACCATAAACAATTTCAGCTTCTTCTTTTAAAAGGCTGGCCATCTATAACATAAATTAGGACATTACTTGGAATTGTTCATATAAATATATGCTAACTAACAAAGTAAAAGCAATGTAACAAAGTAAAAAATAGTTAAAAAGAAACAATTTAATTAAAAAAATGATTTAATAAAAACATCTAGGCCAAAAAAATTATGTAATAATTAGAAATTTTATGTCATTAAAAGCATGACTTTTTGTTTTAATTTGGATTATTTTATTATTTGTTATTATCGGGCTATCATATTTTATAGTTTGTACTTTTTTAGAAAAAAAGGTGTCTTAACAAAATATTTGATTTTAAAATGTACGATAAAAGGGTCTTTTCTTTTCTTTTATTAAACATATAGTAATGTACATCAACTTACCATTATCAGCATACCTTTGCATTACAAAAAAAAGGAAACAGGTGCAAAAAAAAAAAAAATTACCTACATGATATGTTCCATAAAATAAAAATGTAAAGGCCATAGGAATGGCTTTAATAGTAAAAGGGTCTTGAGAAAAGTCTCTTTTTTATTATGCAAAAAAGAGGGAATATACAATCACATTACATTATATAGAAAATTGAAACAAAAAACACATTTAAAAAAAACAAAGAAAAAAAAAACGAAATGGGTATATACATCACACATTAAAGAAAGATATTATATAATTTACAAATTTCAGTTGTTTTCCAGTCTATTTTTGTGAAAGAGTTAGAAATAGTTTCAAAGTAATACTGCATTTCAGTAAGCAAAATATAAATAAAAAAGGTTTTTGGTTTAAATATTTACATTTATGTATATAATTTGTTGTTAATAAGATAATATGATTAAGAAAATATATTTTCTTTTTATGTAAAGCTTATTTTTTATAATTGACAAAACCAATCAAAACAGTTTCCCATAGTTAGGAAAAGACTTTATAAACCTTCTAACATCAACAATTGCAAAAATTGCAAATTAGTGTAACTGCATTGCCAAAATAAGTGTACTAGGAACTCTGGGCATTGCTTACAAAATAAATTATTAGAGTCAATATATTTTTAAATCTCACTAAGAGAGTATTCACTGGGTAGAAGAGCCTCTTTTAGGGCGTATCTTCTGGGCGGGCATACGCAATGACGCCACGTGCGTGATGACATCGCTGGCTATCACAGGGTTGTTTTGGAGGAAGTTAAAGCAGATCCTGAAACAGAAAGAGAAAAAAAGAACCGTCAGTTAACAGGGGGCAACAACGGTTACAGCGCCCGTATCGGTATTCCCGAATCCGGATTAATTTACTCATACACTCGCCAAAAACGATCCAGTTTTCAACTGACGACAGAAGCTGAAGTTATTGTTTGTTTTTTTTCCTCATAAACATCAGGCTCGTGTAAGGGCACGGTAGCAGTTTAGCTTACAGGCTACAGCACAGCACAAAAAAACAGACTGATATTCGCTAGATCTCCTGCTTTATAAACCAGGTGAGTTATAAAATCCGAATATATGCTTGTATATCTGAAATCGAGTGAATGATCGTGGATTTATGGAGAGAGAATGTGTGATTGGCATGTAACGTTAAGCTAACGAGTGACATTAGCAAACGAGATCATTTGTTGTGATGTTAAAGGGCATTAAGTCGCTTTTATTCATGTTTATTTTATATGTAAGGGTTTTTATGGTTAAAATCAGCCACTGATGTTGATTTGTGAGGCCCTGGATGATCAGGTGTTTCCAGTTACCCTGACAGGCCTGACAGTCGCGCTGGGTATTTTTTTTATTATTTTAATTTTTTGTTTGTTTGTTTTTCTACATATGCGTTTGCTCTAATGCATCTTGTTTTATCGTACACCGTTATCTTGAGCTAATGTACACATCAAAACAATCATTGAGAGTCACTAATAAAGTAATAATCGATCAGAAAATGGATTTTACAGCGCTGCTTGGCTTTCATGTGGAATCATCTGATTGCACAACAAGCAGCCGCATTAAATACAGTTTCTGCTTGTATGTTTACTGCACACGGGAACAGGCGTGGGGTATTGCGAAACAAGCCGTTTTTAATAAACAATCATTATTAAAGGATAAAATCTCCTATATTCTATACCTCTTTATTGTTCAAAGGTAGCGTCGATGTATACTGTAAAACGCGTGTGTCAGTGGCTTTAGTACGCACTTGGTTATTTGTTGCATGATGTCGAAACGGCTGACTGACTTTCTCCTATTCTTTTTCGTACTGAGGGAAAGTGCTCTACCATGTGATCCGACTTTACCGAGTGTCATGGGTTCCAGATTAAATATGGAGTCGTAAAAGTGGTGGCAGTCATGAACTGTGTCTCAAAATCTTGCGAGCCTCTTAACTAGCCAGTAGGGCTGCACAATATATTGATTCAGCATCGATATCGCAATGTGATCATTCGCAGTAGTCAAATCACAGAATATGAAATGTTTAGTAAAACTGTTTTATTATATATTATAAGTTTTCATTTTCATGTGATTTTTGATGCATGTGACGGCTGGGCGATATGGCAAAAATGCTATCTCGATATATATATTTTTTTAATTTATAACGATGTATATTTCAATATAAGTTGTTAATGCTTTCAAATTTGAAAGAGGACCACGACAATGACTGAAGCCACAAATATAGAGGGTCCATTAAATGGCATAACATATTTTCAGATGATAAATTTTCTGTGGCTGAAAATTTGGTGCATCTCTAAAATCAACACTTTTTAGGGTGCTTTCACACCTGTGAATCGATTCAGTTGTTCCGAAACAGAGATTAAAATTGTTACATTGTTGCTCTTTGCTCTTGGAGCGGTTCGCTTTCAGACTGCAAAGTTTCTAATCGGACCAAAAAAGCTAAAACAAGTCACGTGCGAGTAAACTCTCCTTACATTGGTCAGAGTGTCAGGGTTTATTTTGCAGCGTCCCGCTCAGCTGTCAGGAGGTGGTGATTTGGTGGTGATTGACAGGGTGCGCGCGCGTGACGTGTCTGAGGAGAGACACGGTGGGGAGGGGTGAGAAGGGTGCGCGACGATGCCTATTTGAGGACTGGGAGAGAGACGCGAGATTACCGGGAGATCATCACTCGTTTGCGGGCATCCGGAGACTCGCGAAACTTCCCGCCCTACTCATAATTCTCTCTTCATGTAGCCGTAAGCCTATTACATATCCATAAAACACTGTCATATATCCGCGCTCGGATCGAATCGCTTTCTCACTGCAATCGAACCGCTCCAGGGTTCGTTTCAATCGAGCCGAGACCACCTCACTCAAGCGATCTCGGAGCGATTACTTTGGCGCGGAACAGAGTGCGATTGCCCTGTTCACATATGCCAATCGAACCGCGCTAACTGGTCAAACGAGATACGTTCCGAAACAAAAGTGTAGGTGTGAAAGCACCCTTAGATTACTATTGTTTTCTGCTATGTATAAATGGCTCTCAGATCAATATGGAGTAAAAAAGTCCAGAGCTTATCATTCTTATTGACGTAAATTTTATCATGATTCAATATAATATTGTTTATCGGCTCAGCCCTGTGACTGAATAATGATTTTAAAAGCATTCACGTATAAAAAATTTTTACCGTTTTGTACTTTTAACAATGATTAATCTCAATTATTTTTATTTTTATCGACAATTACTGTTCCTGAATACTGTTAGACTCAGAAATCTATGTTTATTTTAATAGTTTTTTTATTGTGTTGGTCTATGCTTTTAGATGATGTATTATATTTTATTTAGATGCTCTTCTCTATAGAATCATCCTAACCAATCCCAGCTAATTCTTTTCAAATAGAGGTAATCCAGTCCTCTGGGGAAAGAGTATATTCATATCCAAATATTTATCGCAGAATCACAAAATATCAAAATGTTAGATTTTTCCTATATCATGCAGCCCTACTAGTCAGCATCAGTTTTGAATACTGCAATACTTATCCTTTATCTGCACTACTTTAAAATATATATATTTTTTAATATTGTGTAATACTCTCGTAGTATCGGTAAAATGTGCAGTATAAGGGCTATTCTATTACAAATTACTATTATGTCGCTTTGCACAACGTTGACGATGATTGGAAGTTGCGCCAGAGATGCCTTGAGATGGCATATTTTCTATTACATCAAAATTATTATTTAAATTAAAATATTTGTTTAATATGCAAGAAATGCACCGTTTAAAATATTATTTATAGGATATGCAAGTGTTATTTTATTTAGAAGAGATATCGCTTATTTTTTTACTTTTAATATGAAAACACTAAAAAAAAAATTATTTTGTTTCCAAAAGAGCACTTCAAGTTATTTCTTTTTTACTTTTTAAAAGAAAAAAGTGACTGTTTATTTTAGGCAGTGTGTGTTTAATTTCAGATATTCAACATATATGTTCAATAAATATAGATAGATGGCAGATGGTGTGTGTTTCCTTTTATTATTTTAAAATCAAATAGTGCTCCCTTCATTCAAAAATCTCTCACTTGTAATATGTGAGCACATTTACTGTACAAAATCTGTCAGTGAATTATGAAGGCAAATAAATAAATAAAAGAATCGTTCATTAATCGTAATCGAGTTAAAATGTTTAATTAATCAAATTTTAATCTTAGACCAAATCGCCCATTCCTATGCAGTATACGAGAAATCATGCTGCCTTTGGCTAAATATAATTATTATTATGGTGTATAATAAATCAAAAATTGGAAACTGTGAAAGTTATAGTTTACATGGAGTACAAATTTGAAACTGTGAAGTTAAAAATTAATTGTGACAATGCAAAATAGGCGAAAAAACAGTTCACCTAAAAATTAAAAATTTGTTAATGTTCTCATCATAAGACCTTCCAAACTTTTGGTGACCTATTATTTTTTAAAGATTTGTTTTCAGCTAAAACTGTGGTCTTTGGTGATTTCACAAAATTAATGTTGTTAATGGATACTCACAAAAAAACAAGCAAAAACTAAATTAAAACAGAATTATTGTCTCCTGGTGATGAGGTAGGGCTGCATAATATTGGAAAGATCTGATATTGAGATACTTTATTTATCTGCAACAAATACTGCGTTAAGAATACAGTTTCACAAGATGGTTTGACTTTGAATGTCACTATATGATGGTTTTACAGTATTCGGGTACAGAAATTCAAAAATCACAATGCTTTTATTACTTTGCTTTGTGTTATTTTTAGTCCAGATTTCTAAAAAGTCAAGTACCAATATTGTTTTGTTTTTAACTTCAGAAGAAATAGGTCAAAATTAAGTGTTTTTTTTTTAAACATGGTCTGCCAGTGGGGTATGTAAAATAATCCTGTTTTCGCTTTGAAATGTAGACATTTGGACTAAAAGGATATGAAAAATTCTTAATGTGAAGCTTTTTTTGCATAAATCATAAAGATTCTATATAAATACGGTAATTAAATACTTTTATATAGTTCCTGGTGAACTATCATTCAGACTGAAAATTGCATATCTTGCAATGTGACTTTTGCAGATGTGCACATGGCAATATCGATGCTGAAATGATACTGTGCAGCCCTACACTGAGGTCTCCTAAAGCTACACAATCAGTCTGCTAGAAAAATATATTAAATATTGTTTGCAACATTACTAATGCTGTATCTAATCCACAGCTTCAACAAACAGTCCTTAGCACATACACAACAGTCACATAATTGGATTTAACCTGAATAATGATTGACAATTCATTGAACAATGGTAAACATGACCACAAAGTTGTTAATTATTTAGCAATTTGTACTTTCTTAACATTATTATATATTTTTTGCTAATGGTTGTTCAATACATTGTAGGAGAATCAAGGTTAAAGGAACATGCTAATATTGTTCTTTTTGTGTATGAGTTGATGTATAGTAGAAGTATGTATGTACACGGTACAGGTGCATGAATAATCTATAGTCATTTCTAAATAAAGTAAAAATATTACTGTGTAGATTTTGCACCAGGTTGACTATCAGACATCCCTCTGGGTTGAAAGTGACAATTCCTTTTTTCCCCCACAGAATGTCACAAATGTGATTGCGCATTGTCGGTGTAAACGATTTAATTCCTTAATTTAGTTGATTGTACTGACATTAACAAAATTGGAATCAAAGACAAAATGTACATTTTATTTTTCCCAAAGGCAATTGCTTATTTAAACTCGTAAAGTCTGTGACATTGATTTGAAACATTTTTGCTGCATAATTATAATTATTTGAACCATTTTTGTTGCGTAATGTGTTCTATCACATGATGTGTTTAAAAATAGTATACAAGTTAACATGTGACCTTCATTTTGGCATCAAAGTCATGCTACTAAGAAATGAAAAGAAATATTACACATGCCTTTGATGCTGGGAAATGATGTAGGTGTGTAGGTTTTGTTAAGACTGCACCATAAAAAAAACAATAGCAACAAAAAATAATATTTCTGTGTTAGATGAAGAAGTGAATGACCTGCACTGGTCAGGGTACACATGAG